GAAAGATCAAGTGTCTGAAGCTTTACCAGATTTCCTAAAGCAGCAGGAATTGAACCAGAAATGGCATTGTTCTGAAGTAACCTGCACAATTTACAAAAATGTCTCAATCTTCAAAGTTATTTTTATGTTCTTAGAAGCCGAAGCAATATGCATGAGTCCAAGTAAGGGTAAGTTTGAAAAAGCGGTGAAGAAACAGATAAGAAGCTATGCATTAATGCCAAACCCAAGCAACAATGACAACAGAACCAAGATACCAAAAACCAAAAAACCTTGTGAACTTAGATAGGAACTTACACAGATTGCAAGTTAGTCAGATTGCCAATCCCAGGAGATAGCTTACCTGACAAGTTCTGACTGGGCAATCCTCTGATAAGGAAAAGAACAACCATTTAAGTGAAAAAAAACCAAACTGAAAAACAAATGAACGAACTTGAGTCTTCACAGATCAAAATGTCCAGGAACAAGTTTGCCTCTTTGAAAACATATTGAAGCCTAAGAAGCTTACAAAGCAGAGACGGAGCCATCTGGGGTACAAGTAATCATCCTCCAGCTACAAGGATCGACAGAATTAATATCCCAACTCTCCAGGACATTGTGTGGATCACGCAATTCATTTTTTATGGCCATCAGAGCGACAACTGCTCAAGGAACAACATTAAAGGGTTAGAGCTTTTGTATGAGATTCCTCTTTCCGTTTTCAGCGGACATCAAGAAGGAAAAAAATAAAAAAAGAGAGTCAGATTTAAGGTCTTTATATAGAGTACAAATTCTTCAGAAAACAAAAACCAAAAGAAGAAAAACAGTTAAAAGATTATGTCAACTTTAATCTTCTTGCTGCTGCGGCCAGTAAATTCTAGCATATATAAAGGTCAACATGTTCAACTATCCCCCTTTCCATATCAGATTATAATCTTTCTATTTATAAGTTATACTAATTATAAAGATAAACAGCATAGGAAAATTCCAAGAGAAAATACAACCTTCATAATTTATCCCAGAAGAAGAAAGCGCGGCAGAGGAAATCTCCATCAAAGCCGGAAACAGCAAAGCCAGAAGCCAGAAAACTGAACTAGTCGTTCCCATAGCTCTATATTCTTGCTTCAGAAACTCCTTCCCTTTATTCCTTCACGCAGCTAGTTCATAATTAGCAATTTGACAAGCCATTCTGACCAGAGAGCAAGTGTGCATATTGCCTTATCCGAACAAAAAGCCACTCTCGGAATCAGATGCCCATAAAGCAAAGCCCACGATTGCCGAAACAAGAACGTCGCGCAATGACCATCAAACCAGCTCGGAAAAGAATTCGAACTGAGAGGAATGAACAAAACTTTCCAGAGAAAGAACCAAGCTAATTCAAGCCTGAAATTCAAATATCCTTGAGATCTGAGACTTCCGGGCCTGATTCCTACCTTCTACAGGTTTTGGTTTTTAGCTCTGGTCTGCTAGTTGCCAGTGATTCCGCCACCCCCATTATCTTGTTTCCTTTTGCAGACCCCAGAATAAAAAGAGCATGAAATGAAACTCTCACTCATTCTCACTCATTCACTACCCCTAGAGAGAAGTTAGAATCAAAAGCACAAAGGCCAAAGGAACACGCCAAAGTCCACACAGAGACAGATGAAAAACCAGTAACGAAACTCTTAAAATTTACCACTTGAGAGAAGATGGTACAATACATAATTATAAAAGGTAATCTCTCTTTTTTCCCCCTTTTCTTGTTGCGGTGATTGGACTGAAGGAATGTGGGGGATTGATCAGACGGAGAGAGAAAGAGGAAACAATGGGCACTGTCTAATGCGAAACAAAATTTTGCAGGTAAGCTTTTGACAGGTCACGTGGTTCGGTTGTCTCCGTCTTTGGTTGCTTTCAGCTTCATTTCAAAAATTCTGTAAAAATTAGACGAGACGTGGGTCGTGCTCGTGCGCGCCTATGCAAATTATTTGTAACCCAATTTATATTATTCATTTATATTTATAATTTAATAGATTATTAATTAATTAAATTTGTTGCTTGTTCATAACTTCATATTCAAAATTTATAGGTATATTAAAATAGGTTATTAGTTGGCAAAAAAATTAACCGGTTATTGAGAAAAATAAAGCTATACCTTTTTTTTAATAACCCTTTGGGTCACCAATTATCCAGTGTTTTTTCTAATTCTGTTAATAGATATCTGAACAACCAACTAATTTAGATCGAGATTTGCAAAACCTTTGGACTCTTCCAGCAAATTTTAGCATACTTACGTCCTTAGAACTTAAACACAAAATTACTAGTTAAGTTGGATGAACTCCTTATCAAGCATTTGTTGATTAAAACCATACTACTATTTCTGATTTTAATGATAAAATATTATTTATAATTTATAAATAAAATTTTATGATTAAAATCGTATTACTGCACAAGTAAAAAAAAAATTATAACAGTCACATTCTGCAAAAGTCAGGAGTGGCGCTAAAATGCACCAGCACGTGCCTTAATATAATACTTCCTCAGTTTCATATTTTTATAGAAACTGGAATTATTTTGAAGTTAATTTAAAAGTGAGCATTTTTAATATAACTATAAATTTTTTTTTTGGCCAATTAATATAAATATCCTTGACTATTCAAACATAGGCCTTCAAAGTATCATCTGATTCATTGAAACTACTTAAATATTTGAATTTGAATTTATATAATCAATATTCTTATTTTATAATGAAGTTTGTGTGAATATTTATAAGATGATAGTATGGGAGTTATTCAATTTTTGCCAGCGGAAAGAAAATTCATTATATGAAAAGAAATACAACTACTAATACAGACTTTGAAAGACCAGAGACTCAACTAAGATGACAAATGGAGACTCAAACCAGTAAGGCCAAAAGAAACCTACATCTTGAAGGACGAAGGTGAATAGGTCAGCTTTCATTCTACCATGATCAAAAGAAAAAGCGTAGAACAAGCTCCATTGAGCAGCAAAGGGTGGTTGTTCAAAGACAAGCTCTAAAGAGCACACCCCTTTTAGTGCCAAGGTTGCAAAACCAGATATAGCACCAAATATGCCTCCTAAAACAGAGAGGTAAGGGAACATCTTGAGATCGTGAACAACCTCTGATCATGGTAAAATACAACCAACACCAAAAGACTCCCATAAGCACAAAAGAACAAGAAAAACACAAAGTATACTCCTAATAACTACTCCCCTCCGTTCCATGTAAAAAGTATAATATTTTTTCCAACAATGCCCCCCCATTAATAAGGAGAGAGAGTATGAGAGAGAACAATTAAATTATTAAAAAAAGAGAAGTAGGAGGGAAAGAAAGTATGAGTTTGAGACAAATAATAAGGGTAAAATAGAAAATCAATACAAAAAAATAGAGACAACTTTTAAGTGTCTCTTATATATAAGAACATGCCATAAACATCAAATGTCTCTTATAATAAAGAACGGAGGGAGTAATAAGGACAACCAATACTCCATATACTCTATCGAAAGTCCCCCCAAACCTTAGTAGAATCGAACAAAATCCTTCATAGAGCAAAAAGGGTTGGAAGCCAACCCCCAAAATTCATGAAAAGAGAAGCCAAAGAACTTTCCAGAACCACGGACCTCCCTAAAAAAGCTTCCTTTAGTTCCGCTTGTCGACAAATGATTTGCCACGCGAGAAAAAAAAATTAAATGCAGATATAATATAAGTTAGGCAGCAAGTTTTAAAGTACGTTATTATATATAATCCAAATCATTTTTTATACTTATATTAGGCCCTTTTTATATTAAATGCTTCGCTTTTAAGTTAATAATATGGTAAGTGGCAATTAAACATCTAATGCAAAGTCGAAGCCACGGGACTTGTACGGACGGACACAAAAAATGACTTGGCTTCTTGCGTCGTGAATGTGATGGAAGAGATTGTTCTGTGTTTGCGATCATTTTAAATTATTATTATTTAATTTATTGATGTCATTTTTTATTTGAACACAAATTATAAATTTGCCAGAGCGAGGCCTCTGGTTTCTTTTCCAGGGAATGACTGCTGCGTATCCTTTATTTAAATATACTCGTACTATGTATCTTAAAATAAGACTTAGTTGGGAATTAAATAAAATCTCAATCTATTTTATTCTCACATTTATTATCTTTTATTCAAATAATATTTACTGGTTATATATATTAAAAAGTTTACATTAAAAAGTTGTTTCGATACCAATGATTTAATTGGATATTTTAAGAAAATTAACATACATGTTTAACAAACAAACAATTAAATTAATTTTTTTACCTATCCAAATTAATTAAATAAATAAATACTATATTAAGAATCTGTACTATACATATTACCTTTTATTTTTATCAGTTTTTTTACCAGAATTATTTTTATCAATTTTATACTATAATATAATAGAATGTTATAATTAAAAAATGTGAAGCCAAATGCACTTTTGTATATGTGAAATCACAACAATGGTTAAAAAAAATTAGAAAATTCTATTAAAGAGCAGTACCAATAAAAATTTGTTAGATCATTTTTAATAATAAAACATATTTAAATTTTGAGTAATCCTGAGAGAGATAGAGGGAGAAATGCTAAAATGCGCCGGGAATGGAGGGAGAGAGAAATTGTGCATCGGATGCCGCGAAGTAGAATCTGGCTGATGCATCGGGAGGCCGCAGCCCATGCCTTGGCCTACGTCGCTGTTTCCCACGCTCTCCCTCTTCATTTGCATTCGACTTTTTGATTTTTTTTTATTCTCCAGTTAAAGTAACACAGACCCGTTCGTGTAAAGGTAAAAATAAGCCAGACGACCACCTGATTTGTTTTTTTAAAGAAAACACTTCAGATCTGTTTAAAAGCTTGTTTAAATTAACAGGCTAGGTTTAGATTTTCTAAAAGGCTTGTTGAGCCTGATAGGCCAGTTTGAATCTATTAGAAATTTATAATTATAATATATAAAAAAATTAGTTAATAGTATTATTAATGTGTTCTTTTAATTTATTTTTTAATTTCAATATATAGCTAATAGCTTAGTCTTTTCTTAGATTTTGAAATTTAATTGACAAGTAAAGATAAAAATATAATTTAAAATAAAAATATCAATAAATAATATGATCTTTAAATCTTAAAAATATAACTAAAATAGGAAAGAAAAATCTTATTCCAAGAATGATAGATTAATTAACTTATGTATTATGTGAATTAAATTATGATATTCTCTTTATTCATTGTAAAATTAATAGTTTTTTCTCTTTATTTATTGATCTTAATTTTTTTTGGGGTATTTAAACATAGTTTTGTCCCAAATTTCAACATACAATTAAAACTAGTTTTCAATAATATCCTTGTAAATTGTAATTAAGATTTAAAACAATCCTTACGATACTAAAATTTAAATAAAAGACAAGACTAAAAAATTAATTATTATGTATGCTTTTTTTAATTTTAGCTTTTTTCTAAAAAAATTATTACAATTTAAATTTTTTAAAAATACAGACTTTTTAACATGTTTCAGGCTAGGCTCAGGTTGAAGGATAAGCCTGTAACAGGCCATAAGCCAGGCTTAGGCCTATAGGCTACAAAATAGGCCTAGCCTGTTAAGAGTAAGACATGGCCTGGCCTGTTTCCGCCCTCACTTTCGTGAGAGTTAATTATTCATAATTACTCTTTTGATCTTATTTAGTACTCCTCAAGTCCTATTTATAAGGTATTTCTAATATATTTTATACAGACTAAGAAAAACCTTAAACTGTATTAACTTTTCATTAAAATATAACAACTTTCCAATTTTACTCCTATTTAATAAATACTCTTTTTAAAAAAAACTATCTGCACTATAATAAATGAAGGATAATATAGTACATTCATGATAAAAATTTAATGAAGTGACTTATAAATAGGACAAAAATAAACCTTCTCTCTCTGCCCTATAAATAGAACCAGAGGAGTATATGGTATAAAGAAAAAAAAATTTAGTCTTATTTATGGAATACTAAAAAAAAATGTATATAGATGTATAATTTTATTATTTAAGAAAAATTAATCTTTTAGTTCTTGAAGTTTTGACTCACTTAAAACTCAGTCCCTGAAAGTTTAACTCGCTTAAAACTCAGTTCTTCATTTTTTTATTTTTAATAATTTTTTCTTATTATCTATAATCCATGCCAAGTCATCACTGAGTCATCCTACATGAAAAAAAAATGCAGTTATAAATTCTTTTATGGATTTCTAGCTCAGCTCTCCACGTGAATTTGACAAAACAGATGGAAAAAATAAAAATAAAGCTTCATATTTACTATGAGCTTGGATTGGAGATGAAGTACGAACGGCGACCTCACTCTCCCTCACTCACCTGCTCTCATCAATCATCCTCAACACCATCCTGTATAGATCGATGAACGTGAATGTGTCGGAGTTGCAGTTGTCTCTTGAAACTCCCTTGTTTTTGTTGCTTTCAATATGATTAGTTTGTGAGCTTGCAGTAAACGATATAGGATTGGGATGGATCTTTCTCACCATCTCAATTGAAGTTAGAATTGTCAATGACAAGGCATCCACATTTTTGAATGAGTTTATGCCCTGTTTCCTTTTCTTTCTTTTTCTTCTTCTTCTTTTTTTTTGAGTTTCCTCCAAAAGTTTTCAGCCCATCTGATAATTCCTTGTCTCAGCTAGCAAACATCTAAGGCGATGAAGTAGAGGAGAGGAGGTGAGTGAGGGAGAGTGAGGTTGTCGTTGGTCATCGCCAGTCCAAGTTCATCGTAAATTTGAAGCTCTATTTTTTTTCCCAATTTTTTTGTCAAATTTATGTGGAGAGCT